AATTTTGCGATACCAGGGCTGCGTGGGATGGGCTGGATGAGGATATGAAGGCGGAGTTGACAGAGAAAGACTACGTTGCTTGCCATTCTATCCTGCATTCCAAGAAACTCGCGGCCCCGGAGCACTTTGCGAACATTGAACCCGCAGACTATCCAATGGGACGACACAAGCTCGTGCAAAAACATGAAGCTTCCGGACGGATGAACCTTTATCTCGCAATGCACATCCACCATATCGAGAACCTCACTCCGGAGGCCTCAAAGACCTTGTTTGAGAAGCTCTTTGACCACGCTACGCAGGAAAAGTACCGCGTCGTGGTGGAGTGGGAGGATGTCGGGGATATCGTCGTCTGGGATAATACCTGCACGATGCACCGCGCCATGGGCGGGGAGTTTGCGTACAAGTATAGGAGAGATATGAGAAGGGCTACTGTTCATGATGGGAGTTCGCAGGCATGGGGGTTGAATGAGAGGACGGATGTGAGGCAGGGGTTGCCGTGATGGTCCATAGATGGTGGGTGGCGGGAGGTTGTGGAGATTGGACACATGGGTGCCGGACATCTTGGATATGTTCGCTGGGGGATGTCGTACAGAGAATTGAACTGTTTCTTTGGTTTCTTTGTTGTGAACAATCATCCCAGCCGTTGCTTACTAGCAGCTTGGACGTGGCTGCTGTCACTGAGGGACTCGGTGCCGAGGTCGTTTCTTGGATCCTTTGTTGAAGAAACAACTGTCGTTGATAGTTGAGGAAATAGATCTCGTGCCTGATTTGCCGGCGAGACCCCTGTTATGATGACCGTTGTCGATTGTCCGGCCACGAGGTTCTTCGTAACTGGCTATCTCAGCATTTACCGCAGTAGGCAAGATTTAGACACATGCAGTAAGCAAACTTCGCGATACTGGTACGCTCTTTGTCTACTAGCAGGAGACTTAACTCGATCAGTTGTTCACGGTTTTACCAAACTGCGTCATCGGAGGTAAGCAAACATGTCCTTCCGCCCAGCCAACTTTTGACGCGAACACGCTCATCTTTTCAGTAGAGGTTGCATTATTGAATCTTGAGGCCTTTGGTCGGAATAGCCATTCATTGTCACCGGCGGTTGTGAACATCGGCTAAAGGAAGAAGGAAAAGCTTGGAGCAATGCGTCCTGATGGCTCGTGGATGTGGCAATGGTTTGAGAGGCGGACGGACGGACTGGCGGTAGGCTGGATCATCTAATCAAAGTGTCAATGGTTTCTACTAGTTTAGGGTGAATGCTGCCGTGCGACCCTATGGCAAAGTCACAGAGGTGCTAGGGTAGTCTGAAGGACAGTTCTCTGAACAGCTTCATCTTGACCAGCCAAGGTGACAATCTACAAGCATAGCGGACACGAGAACAGTCAAGTGATCTAGATCCCACAAAAACGTCTATTAATTCGTGTCAGTATAATCTGGAGTATTTAAGGGCGGGATTGTCCAGCATGGATGCAGGAATGGCCCCTATCTAAACACCAAGAGCATCAGCACAGCGAGTCAATTGGCAGATTTGGTTTTCAGCCCCGAAAAGAAATTGTCGGCAATCTTACATTCACAGCTTGAACCGTCTATCTATCTTGAGGTATTGAGCTATTATCATTACCCCTGCTCAGGAAATTCGGCGAACCTCGCACATACTGATCGTACTAAATTCAGGGCATCATATCTACAAACCGGGTTACCAAAGAGCTACCCAGCCGGCATTCCTATACAATCGGAGATTTGAACTGAAACAGGACGAATGAGAGCATGGATTCTCCCATCCTTACGAAACGATTTACCTGCCCTTATGTGCAGTGCCCATATTACGAATTCGCCGAGTTCCCAACTGAGATCGCTCGAAATGCGCATACAGCAAGGCACTTCCAGTGCTCGTACTGGTGGATTTGCAGCGAAACGTTCGATACTTTGTCAGTTGCAGAATATCACGAACAGACGCACGACAATGAATTTGGCAAGAACTTCGAGTGTTCTGGGTGCAATCAGAAACATCCCACTATGATCGAATATAAAAGGTGTGAAATATCACACCAGGGCGACCGTGATCAGAACGGCCCTAACTGGATTTGTACGAAATTGAAAGATGATGGGACTAGTACGTGCAACACGCCCTTCAAGCGCGAAGAACATTCCGAGTTTGTGAGCCACTTGTCGGAACATAACATACCATCCGATCAAGCGTCCACAGATATCAAAGATTATAATGTCACGTCGAACGGACAAAGTTTCTGGTGTGAAAATTGTGGCCAGGTTCGCAAGCTCTATGATTCCGAATTCGAGAGTTACCCCCGTTTCTATGGGCACTGGCAGACGCGGTGTTTGGATCACCGCTCACGGCATATGATATCCTTGCGGGAAAGTGCGCTGCAACAGCCTAATCAGGAAGCGTCTTGATGAGGTTGAGGAGACTGATGATAATGAATCTAGCGATTGTCTACGATCATTAGCTAGTGAACCAGAGCAGTGAAATATGTACACGAGAATCTAGCTGCTAGTTGAATATCTTTTCTATAAGAAAGTACCTGAATTTATATCCTTATCTTCTTTCTCATACAGAGTTTCTTTTAGCTTGATAGTGACACTCACATAGCTCTGGTTTGAGCAGGCTCTTCTTTCACGCATCACAAGAGTAAACACATTGACACCTAGTCGAATCTCATTGCCGTTAATGACTAATAGCTTTCAAAATGGTTTACTGAAACGTAGTCTCGAAGGCTGTCATCGGGGGAGGGTCACCTGGCCACAATGGTGAAGACGTATTTGCCGCCGGGGCATGTCAACGCTGGCAAACCGCAAAAAAGGTGAAGACAGGCGAGCTGAATCGCCACGACTCATAAATCCTTAAAGTGACCGAGCCATGTTGTCATGGGACACTTCTTGCAGATATCCCAAAGAGGCGTCTGACTTGACATCCGCTGAATGATCCTCAAAGCGAATCTATGATTCGTCTCGTGGTGCATAGCTTTTCTGGTGGTCAGTATCGAGGAGAAATCATTGTGAACTTTGCATTCATATTTTCTTTCGTCACACAGAAAGTCTTTATTGCTTTTTCAATACCAAATCAGATTTTAGTATTGTCACTCAAGAAGAGTAAAACCCACACCACCTAAACTATTCATAAATCATTAGAGTGTAACAGTCAAGAATGTCGAGAGCACGAGATCTTGCTCTACGTGGTGAAGTGTATCGAAACACCGATGTATAAGAAGTGAGATTTTCTACTCAAAGTGGGAAAACAGTCCCTCGCTCAGGACTTTCGACAAACCTTGCACTTGACCTACAAGTTACAATCTTGAAACTACAACTTAACTCACGAACCAAGGTCGCTTTCGTTTTTATCTGCCCACAAAGTCAGTGGACAAATTTGGCACATGCTAACGGCATTGTCACGAAAGTATGTCGCAGAACCCGTTTATGGATGTCATACTCGCAATTGTCTGCTATCATAAGGAACGCATCGAAAAGTTCGATAACAAAGCGGAACGAGATGCGCAAAAGAAAATGCATGTTACGTGCACGTATTGTAGGTAGTCAAGCATTCGACAGTGTGGCGGATAGGATTGATCACGAAACAGCGCATGTTACGTGCTACTATGGGTATTGCAGCTTGCAATTCCAGAATGGAAACCTCCGGAAGATCCACGAACAAACCGAACACTTTCCTGGCAGTTTCATGTGTACTTTTTGCGAACAGCCTTATGGGAATGCACTCCAATGGAGAGCATGCGAAGCATCACACGGTGCTGGCCGTGGACAGCCCCAGGTCTAATGGGTATGTTCGAAGGCATCGGCCATGAATGGGAAAACGTGCAACACATCTTATACCAGTAAACAAGGTACCAACTACCAAAACCACCTGTGAATACGGCATGGCTATCACCGAACGGAGGATGGATGGAAAGAGATTCTCGATAAAACTTGTTTCAAGCATAGGTAGTGTATTCTGGTGGGGGCGTTGTGGTAAGGGTCTCAAATACGATGACCCGGCGATCAAAAGGGATCTCAAGCTCTACGGAATAGGACAATTACTTCGTCTAGATCACATACAAAAGCATGTGTTGGAAGATGGCGGCATCCATTGGCAGTGGCCTAGTCCGGGGGTGAGAGAGAGAGAAAATTCGTAGAATGAAAATCAGCTATTGTGCTCAATGATGGGCCGCTGGATGAACGGAGTAAGAAGCGCGAGAGGGAGGCGATTCATGGGAGAAGTCAGTGATTGTGCTTGATGATGAGCCACTCAACCATGAGAACAGGGGATATTTCTTAGGACCTAGCTACTGGCCGAATATCTTGGACCTACTCAGACAGTTCAGTGAGTATATTCCATCATCAAGGAAGTGCAGGTACAGGACGAGTTGAAATAAACTGTCTGAAACTCTCCCCACGAGTGGTGATTACCTTCTCCAGAGAGATCCTTAAACATACGACGTAAAGCGACGCGGCAATTACCAACAGGTCATCTCAGAATGCAGGTTATTACACGCTGAGTCAAGGGCACATTCTTACATGCAGTGTTTGGATCTCGGGGCCGGCGCCTGTTTGCTGCGAAGTGGAAAGTTCTTTTTTGCTGAACTCAATTCTGGACGATGAGTTTCTCAAAGGGGGCGATGGGGATCATCTATTCAATATGACGAAGACGCACGTGTTCATTGCCGTGACACCGTAATATGATTCTAATCAGAAGATCTGAAAATTTCTTATTTAGGCAGACTCGTTTCACTAAAGAAGGCCGGAGAGGTTCTTTCAAATGCCCTAGAAGGTCACCCATTGAACTCAAAGGCATGATATCCAGATTGAGCCATAGATCTTTTGCACTCGAAGCAGCGGGATCCAGGACGTAGCTGACAAAGTGGAGCCCCCCTGGTGGCGGTTAGTGCTAGAATGGAGTCATGGAATGGCTTTCATTCTGATTTCACCAGATGACGTTGGAAATTTGCATCCAGAAAGAGAGTCTTAGCCGATGAATGTTAGTCAAGAACAATGCTTTACCGCCCGAGGTAGAAGATTTGCAAGGGTATGGAAGTAGAACAGTCCAAGAATCCCAGCACTTTACGGGTCTGGTCCAACTGGGGTGTTGAAACGTAGCATTAATTCATTAGTAGTATATCAAGGGTGGACGTGTCATTCTTCGAGGTCAGGTCGAGACACACCACGACATCAGAACTACACAATCTCCAGACCTCGCACTTCCCCTATGAATTTGAGCGTCAACTCTCTCTATATCTTAAATCATCACCACCAATCTAACGTAGTTAAGGGTACCTACCACTTGATTTTCTTATCGGCATGGTCACGCGCCTAGAATATACTGACCTTGTTATTACAAAAGCATCATGTTCGCAAACGGGACAGAACGTGCGGAGAGGGATCGACGCACAAACGGAAACTCTGTCACAAACGGGAACCACAACCTGAATTCGCAGATCAACGGAGGTCTATCTACAAATGGAATCAGTATTAATGGCAGCAGAAATAATGTCAATGGCGCCCATGTCTATGTGTGCTACTACGGATATTGCGGCCAACGATTCACTACTGAGGCGGCTTATTCATCTCACATTGATGAAGAGCACCAAAGAAGGCCTAGTAATCAGGAATTTCCGTGTACCTATCCGGGTTGCGGTACTTTCTTCTCAGTTGCGACGGACTGGAGAGATCACGAACTTGAACATGATGAGGAATATATCACGAATCCGACCAACATTTACTGGGTTTGCTCAGAACCTAGAGGTACAGGAGCGTGCAACACATCCTTCACCGCGAAACAACGTACCCAGTTCGCAGAACACTTAGTAACCCTGCACGGGGTGGGCCGATCATGGAGTGCGGTGATCCCAGTCCTCGGGAGATCGAGTTTTCCGATCTACGCTGACGGATTCTATTGCCCATGGTGTGTTAAGGGTATCAAATACAACGATCCAGACTTGTTACGATCCTTTGTTATCTGTGGTTTGGACCAGCCGCTGCGTTTGGATCACTTGCAACGGCACATGTTAGACGATGGGAACTCTAACGGGCACTTGCCTACTGCGGGAGTTTGAGACGAAGTACAAGAGGGAGGCATCTGACATAAGGTACTAGAAGTCAGTGGTTGAGCTTGATGACCACTGGTTGCTGAACCATGGGAAAAATGGGTGCCTCTTAGCATGTAGCTGCTAGTTGCATGTTCGATATATCTTTAGAGTACTTAGGCGGTTGAGCACGCTTGAGTATCAAAGAAGTGCAAGAGAAAATTAAAAAAAAAAAAAAAAAAAAAAAAAAAAAAAAAAAAAAAAAAAAAAAAAAAAAAAAGAAGAAGAAAAAAAAACACCAATTTCTTTAACATCTTCCCTGCATTAAACGATTGTAATTCAGTTCCTCTTCCACCGGAACTTCGTATGATATAATGAATTGGCACCTAGTGACAGGTCACTACGCAATAATCAATACCCAACACCTTATGGATGGTGGTAATTTGTGTTTGGAATCCAAGACAGGCGCCCAACCATAAGAGTCATATTTGCTATCAGCCTCGACTCTTGGCAATGATCTCATTAGAGGCGGTAATAAAGATCATCTATTCAAAGTAACAATCATGCACATGTTCATTTGCCAGGACATAGAAAACGCCACCCTACCGCCGCACCGTCAACCAAGATAGAAGGCCTGAATAATCTACCGCAGAAACATTCAGGCCCACAAAGAAGACTGGAAGGATGTGGCAACTGCTTGTTTGACATCGTTTACCGCATTCTTTGTGGAGAAACACCGATCCTTGCTGGCCGACAGAAAGTTTTCACCAATCAAACTCTTGGCCTTTACCGACCATCATTCGTCATGGCAGGATACCCAGATATTCTCCGCAAATTTCGCGATGTCAGCGAGTTATTCGTCCTTTCAGTCAATATTCGGTATCTTGAGTATCACAAGGTTTCACGCGCTAGTCGGTTAATATTATTGCAGACTTGCGAACACTTTCATACTCAATTTTGACATCATCCGCTCGGCATTAAAGCCTTTGAGCGTCGGATTGCCAAGGATACAATTACGTAGTGGCGTTTGAGAAAATCTCCATAAAGAATCCATCCAGGAATCAAAGTAACCACAAAGCCCTACCCACGAACCGTCTAAAGCTCATGACGGCAATCTGGACTATCTATCTAAGGTGTCAAAGACATACTTACCGCTGAATCATGGTAAGCAACACCATACAACTGCGCGACTTGTCATCTTATACATTCCGGATTATGAAAGCCAGACAGCTGCACCCTGCTAGAGAGGCGTCAGTCGTTCATCAGCTCTTTGGCCACCTTTCCCGGGAAGTTTTACCGGCTATTTAGCTAAGCTTTTCCAAGAAATCATCAAGGCAGGTCTAGGTATATTTCGGGATCATGGGTGCAGCTCACCACACACAGACTTTCAGTGGCGGTCAATCTCAAGAATGGTTCATTGATAACTTTACATTTCGTTCTCGACAGGTGACATGACATTCCATATTGAAACACCAAAACCTAGACGATTTACGTCGCTAGTGCGAAGAAGATGAATGCTTCACCGCTCAAGGTAAACTTATCATGAAAGGGAACTAAAGTTTGTCGAAATTATCCTGGCAATCACGAATTTCAACCTAAGTATAAATTACCGAGTCTTACCTCAAATACATGAAGGGCGCGGTGATCCGGCTTCTTAAGCAGAACAGCCAGTATTATACATCACGGCGCCAGCTAACAGACCTTGGTACTCTATCAAACGCACGCCTCAACTAAATCTGACATCTTTCTTCCCTGGACCCATAGTCTGAATTACCAGTCTTTGCCAAGGTAATTGATATTTTGTTCCTTCTCTTGGTGAAGCTTGCGAGTTCATGCTAACAACAGCCTTCCAGGCACCATGTCCGCAAACGGGACCTCGCATACAAATGGGAATGGCCTTACGAATGGGCATAGTGAACACTTACCCAGATGCTATTATGGGTATTGTGGCCAACGTTTCACTACTATGGCGGAACATGAGACCCACGAAGAAACGCATGATAGTGTCCCTGATGGTTTCCTCTGTACCTTTTGCTCCTCGCCTTACTTGGAAGCACGGGGTTGGAGACTTTGTGAGGAAAGCCACTCTGAGCAACGAATCCAGGATCTAAACGGCATTTATTGGGTGTGTTCGCTGCCGGACCGTGACAATGATTCAAGGCTTTGCAATACATCGTTCAAGGTTACGCAACGTTTCGAGTTTGCACAACACTTGACAATGATGCACGGAGTGGGTACCTCTTGGAGCGTGGTGCTGTCAGTCCAGAGAGATAATTGTTTTCCGATTCATGCTGATGGATTTTGGTGCGGGTATTGTCGAAAGGCTCTAAAATACGATGATCCGCAAATACAGGAAGGCCTCTCTCTTACAGATTTAGACCAACCGCTGCGTTTGGATCATATCCAAAAACATATTCTCAATGGGACAAGACCTCGCTCATGGCAATGGCCTCGAGCGGGCGTTACTGAACAAGCTTCAGGGGAGGAGCAGTAGTGCAGAGACGAGGGAATACTTCTGAGGGAATAGTTATGAGTCAAACATCTTTTACGTAGCTGATTCTGCCCCGGGAGGAAGTTACCCAAACAACCAAAATGCAATACCTTTAAATCTTTCCCATGGATGATCGCATCTCGCTTACTTTCCTATCTTAAGTGCCTTGATCACTCAATCGACCTCATAGATCGACAGGTCTCCGTATCCCTTCATTCTATTCGAACTTCCGAATATGTTAGTCAGGAACTCCTGAATCCTTTCTCAATCATCCAGGCTTGCAGCAGCTACAGAAACGCGACTACATCCTTCCTGGTAGACTTGCCGAATGTCGCATCGAGGGGCTCTCTAAAATACACCCCAATTCGCTGCCATTACCGGAACCACGTACACAGCCTGCTCCTTCAAGTGCTTCTGTCTCATCCCTGGGTTAGGACCCCACGAACGGTTGAGGCTCCGCTATTGTTGTCTAAGTGGTTGCCTCACCTCAGACCCAACCAATGCGTCTCGTAAGTTCGGGCGCCACCTGGTCTGCCGGAATTGATATTGTGACTGTCGTGCTAAATCGATGTTTGTTTGAATGACCTAAAAATACAGATGACAAGAAAAAGTATCCTAGGCACTAATGGTCATTATGCATCCATGCCACTTTGTTCATAACATACTCGGGTATCCCGAGCTATCGTAGGACTCAACATTCGCTTGGCAATTTCCCAGACCGCAAGATGAATGTATCTCGTGGCATCTAACAGTGACAAATAAAATGATATTCAACCGCATTCTGTCTCTCTTGAATGGTTGTATGTGTTGTTCGATCAATGTGGTGATCTCTATCCCTTTCAGTATTCTTAGCGAGGAGCTTACCGCTTGGGCGACACCCAGTAAACATCTAAAGGGGAGAGTAGGGTCCTTTCATGATGATGTTGTACAAAAACTGGAGCAATTGATACTTTTCGCCGAACAGTCAATTCAGATCCAAGTCCTTCACTCCATGGTGGCAGGACCGTATTTTTATACATGAGCACGCACGTTTAACTTTCTCGACATCTAGTTTCCAATTGCGATCATCTGTGAAGGCTATCACTCACCAGAACCTACATTTTTATTCAGACGTTCGGCTTTCTTGGACGAGTCAGAATACGGAAATATAAACATCAAGTTAGCTTGAATTTCCCTGCTTTCCCCACAGCCAAGTTCAAACTGGTGGCTGCGTATGCTAATGTTGTAATAGAACTTCAGCATCATGTCTGTCCAATATGAGCAACAAGCAGTCCGACCTGAGCAAGTGGACATACAGTTTCCGCCTATGCCTGATCGAGTAGGAGAGGACCAAGACGAAGAAATAATCTCGGCCGAACGAGAGGCAAGGCAGACTGGACAGCCTACCAAACTTGGGTGCGTCCATTGTAGACGCGAGTATGCCATCGAGGCTGCTTGAATGCGTTGTGATAAATCCCATCCTAACCTTATATACTATCTATGCGAGGAGCACTCGCCTCCTACTCCCGGTCGCCCTGGCGTTCCCTCAAACATCATCCCTGGCGATCCAAGATGCAGGCGTTTGCAAATGTACTCCAGGTTCAGAGACTTCTATCAACACTATTATAGTAACCACGGCTGGGATCCGATAGACGATCTCCTACAACGGAGTGACTGCGGAAAAGACAACTTCTTTTGTGGGTTCTGTGTCAAGAAGAGGAAATACCCACGCGCTGTACCTGATGACACGCAAGCCACGACCGACAGAAATATGAGACTCCGTCATGGACATATCTTAGAACATTACCGGGATGGCGCAATAAGAAAGGAGTGGTTCTCTCCACCCCTCATGGACATCCCTCGGTCTAATCGGCGACAGTGTCCAAGATGCGCACTACCTACGTTGTCGCCGTCGCCATCACCATATCCGAGAATCACGATCATTTTCCTGATCAAGCAGCTACTAAGAATTAGACAGTGGAAACGACGCTCAGCGAAGGGCCTCGATAGCCACCGATCAACACAGACATCGTACATGGAACGAGGACAAGACGTCAAGAGGGACGCTACATGAGAACAACTTTTCCGTGATGAGCAGGAGTAACACGCCTCGGAAGTCTCGATCATACTCCGTCAGTACCCCTTTACTTCATAAGTCCGGCGGCTCCTAAACTATGATTTGAGGGCCAAGGGGGGATGGAGGATGAGAGTGGCGCGGTGATCAGAGAGCTCGGCCAAGTAAACCAACATCGTGCATCTTAATTGCTTTTCCGGTCTTATTCTAATCCTTTTGGAAAAGGATACGCATATTAAAGTTGAAGTTATTCGTTTGGCTTTTTGGTTTAACGAAATGTTATCTTGAAATATTATTCTATCACTCAGTAGCGAAAAACTCTTCTGGAACAGAT